CTTTGGTTCCCAAAGTTGGGCTTGGGACCCAATTATGGGTCATGAAGCACCTTGGATAATCTCCAGAAATAAATTTAAAGGGTAATAAAATAAATGCTGATGTAATATTTTCCCTATAAATATTACAAAAAAACACAAAATAACTATAAATAAGTATTTATATTTGTGTACAAGCTGTTTAGATTGTCAAAAAGCCTGTGTTTTTAGGGTTATTAACGAAGTTCGTGTACTCAGACTGGTAATATTTGGGGTCACAAGTTTTGGATATTTTGTGGGTCAGAAGATAAAAAGTTTGGGAACCACTGCTTTAGATTAAGCAATAGTTGATATATTTTGTTAAATGACGAAAAAAAAAACCTGACATTTTTCAACAACAGTTGCCCTGATTTCTAAAGATCATCATCGACCATAAGACTTTATTTGCACTTTAATAACACTTTAGGCTATTCGTTTATTGTTACATGAAACCACCAGATAATTTGCTTGTTTGTCTTTTCTAACACAGATTAGATGATGATAATAAACGTCAACACAACTACAATTCGTGTTTTTTGTCTGAAAGTGTGTTTAGTTTGTGTGACAGATGCAGGAGTTAGTTTGAAAGTTTCTCACTGTCTTGTGGCTGAAGTCACTGACTGTCAAACCTTCAGCTGCACTAAAAGGATTTTCTGCTGAGCTGAGAGAAGCTCATTCTGTGCTGTAAAAAAAAATACACATTTAATTGAACTCTCTGAAACAATTTTGTCTTCAAAACTTCTGAAGTTAAACACTGTTTTTTTCCCCCCTTTGAAACTTTACATTAAAGTTAGCCAACTTGTATGGAGTTTAGTCCTCGTTGACTGACTGCCTCCCAAACTCCGAGTCCAAACGTGGACCCGCACCCCGCTGATTGATCCAGCTCGTGCTCGAGACACGTCTCACCTTTGATACTGATCCCGAGCCCCCCCACGTCCTGCTTGGTCACCCGCACCGTGCGCTTCACGTTGGTGATGGTTTCCGGGACCGGGGACGCGCTGAGGTTCGGGGGGTCGCCGTTGACAGCGGCACCTGCGGGACTCGGGCTGGGCTTCGCGGGCTCCTCGGCGCCCTCGCCCGGGTTAACGGTGAGCGTGTCGTCGGTGAGCGTGGCCAACACCCGGACCCAGCGGTCCACGCTCAGCCGGAGCTCCAGGAGTCCCGTTTTCTGCGCCTTCATCGCGGCAGCCATGTTTCAACGCATTCCTGGAATAACTCTAGACGGGCTGGCGGTCCTGTAAGGAGGGGGTGGAGGGCTGGGGAAAGGGGGGGGGGGGGCATGCAGTGACGCGCGCGCGCACACACGCACAAGCTCCCTTTACTTTTTTCTCCTTCCAAAGAGCGTCATCAAGAAGCAAACAGTAAACTTAAAAAACGATTAATGTTGACACACACACACAAAGTCCAAAGAGTTCCATCTGAGTCAATCAGTTGTGTGGTTGAGTCATTTATTTATTTAACTAAAGTACATTTAACAACCTGGCTTCAGACCACAGGTCTAATTTGAACTTTCCCCAACAGGACACACAAAGCTCATGAATAACCAGATGTTTTCATGAGGAAGCATCAGCTTCCAATGGCTCACATCAGGCATGAAATCTACAAGGTGTCCTCACATCCAGTGCCTTAAAAAACTCAATCAAGTGGAACAAATGTTCAAATTTATAACAGCAGATTCAAGATGTTGCTCAAAATCCAATGTAGGCTTTGATTAAAAGATGAGTGGGTTTAAGTTGTTTAAACTCAATCAAAAACACTGAGCAAAAAGCCTGGGAGTTCCACAAACATGAGCTCAAAGTTGACTTTAAAAGCTGTCAGTGAGTGTCAGGCCTTGATTCAGTATTGCAGAACCTTGTTTCACATTTCATGAGCAATTCAGCAGAGCGTTCTGCTCTTCTTTCCAATTCTTAACTTTGTATTATGACTTTTTATGTCTAAAACGATATTTATTGGATTTCTTGCTTTTTAGATTAATACAAATCTGTGCAAACCTATAAAAACGACGACATTTGGTTTGATTCATTTAGTCCTTTCTCTGCATAAACATTGATAACACTATCACTTTGTTTTAGCAAAACATGTTTATTTTGCATATCTGAAAACGTCCACAAGTGTCTGACACAGTTGGACAGCTTGTCATCCTTTTTTTTTTTCATCTCTAGGACTTCATCTGTGTGTGTGGCAGCCTGACTTCCATTTGCTTCACAGCAGGTGAAACAGCAAGGAAGTTCCAGGACCCAATAATAGAAAACACCCTTCTGGGTGGGCTGGTGAGGGGCTTCTTTCCCTTTGGGAAAAACAAGTTTGGTGCAGTGACTGAATGTCGCTTTAAAGCCTGAACTTATCTGTTGATCCTTATAATGCAAGAGCAATTAATCTGGCTGACACAAAAACATTAATCTTGTTTATATATAGTTATTGAGTGTATGTTTATCACATTGCCCATTAATTTTACAACTTCATATTTAATGTACATGTGAATTTCTTGCAGCCATTGATCAGAATTCACAGACAGCACAATTTTGATGTAGAAATTGTTTTTTAGTGTTCTGTCTCCATCTAGCGACCACTTTACCACATTACATCAGGATTAAACAAACTGCACTGCATTTACAGTATATATATA